TTCATCATTTTGCAGATGAGGCAACTGAGTCATGGAGATTTAGTAATATGAACAATGTCCTATAGCCACGACCTGACAGTCTAGGTATTGACAAGTGGTATGATGTTAGAAGTTTAACAACTGACTCTCTAGAAAGAAAGGAAGGAAGAAAATACATCAAGCCTGACTTGCAGCCAGGTCAGCCGTGGTGAGTCAAAGTCCAAGTCGCTAAGCCCGTGCGTATCCTCCGTCCTTGCTACCATGGCCACTTTGTTCATGAACCTGTTGAGCAGTGATATGGTAGTTGGGGAAAGAGGCTGACCGGTATCCACAAAACAGATCATTCTATCCCCTTGATTATTAAAATCCTCTTCTGCTGAGGGCACCCTTTGGTGAGCATTCACACGGGACACAAATATCATCACATTCTTTGTCAGCAGAAAGAGGACTATCCTCAGACCAGCTCTCACCAGTTTTCTTCCAAGTCCCTGGCCATCTAGCCAACTCACTGGCTACAGTCCATTAGTTAATATAGATTCTTACCTCTGGCCATTTTTCCTTCCAGATGAAATGAACCACCAAGTACCCTGCTTGATGATCTGCCCCCTAGGAGGATTTCTTTCCACCACGGACTTCAGGGATGTCCCAGAAAGGAGCTCGAGCAGTATAGCTGTCCACGTTCAGGTGGTGCCTGTGTATCATGCAGACCCATCTGTAAACTGGGCCTGAGTTTTCTCTTCCTCATCAATTAATCACAGAGCTCCCCCACCCCGCAATGAGACCACAGGCATTTGGGCTACTTCCTCGTGCAAATTACTTGTACCTTCAGGAATTGCTGGAGTCCAGTTTCACACATTTCACTTCTATTTGATGATGTAGTGTTACTGTGCATGCCAACGTTTGACCTGGTAAGTCAGACAAGATCAAGTTCATAGTGGGAATTTAGGTCACATGGTCACTTGGTGGTTCATGGTCAAGTGTTCAGTCTCTACGAGAGCCCAATGGCAAGCCAAAAGCTGTTTCTCAAAAGGAGAGTAGTTATCCTCAGAGGATAGCAAAGCTTTACTCCAAAATCCTCAGGGTCTGTGTCGTGATTCACCTTTCGTGGCCTGTCAAAGGCTCCAAACAACATCTCTCTCTGCTGCTGACACTTGGAACACCATCAGATCTGCCGACCCATACGGTTCAAATGGCAGAGCAGCTTGCATGGCAGTCTGGACCTGCTTCAGAACCTTATCTTGTCCTGGGCTTCGCCCAAAACTAGAGGCTTTTTAATCCCAATCATCAGTTTAACCCATCCTCAGATTATCTTCTATGCCCTTAGTGCTGCTCCCCCAAGACAGTCATCAAGCAGCGCAGTTTGACCAAATCCCTAGCCCTCCGTTTCAGAGTGGAGAGAGGGAGAGTTACCCAATTCATTTTATGAATCGAATTTACCCTTGACACCAAAACTAAACAAGGGCAACATAAGAAGAGAAACTCATTGACTAACCCCAAAAATGAATATAAGTGCAAAAATCCCAAATAGAGAAGTCGTTTTTTAATAAAATTTTTATTATGTTAGTCACCATACAGTACATCATTAGTTTTTGATGTAGTGTTCCATGATTTATTGTTTGCGTATAACACCCAGTGCTCCATGCAATACATGCCCTCCTTAATACCCATCACTGGGCTAACCTATCCCCCCAACTCCTTCCCCTCTAAAACCCTCAGTTTGTTTCCCGTAGTCCATAGTCTCTCATGGTTCATCTCTCCCTCTGATTCCCCCCCTTCATTTTTCCCTTCCTTCTCCTAATGTCCTCCATGCTATTCCTTATGTTCCACAAATAAGTGAAACCATATGATAATTGACTTTCTCTGCTTGACTTATTTCACTTAGCATAATCTCCTCCAGTTCCAACCATGTCGATGCAAATGGTGGGTATTCATCCTTTCTGATGGCTGAGTGATATTCCATTGTATATATGGACCACATCTTCTTTATCCATTCATCTGTTGAAGGGCATCTCGGCTCCTTCCACAGTTTGGCTATTGTGGACATTGCTGCTATGAACATTGGGGTGCATGTGGCCCTTCTTTTCACTACATCTGTATCTTTGGGGCAAATACCCAGTACTGCAATTGCTGGGTCACAGGGTAGCTCTATTTTTAACTTTTTGAGGAACCTCCACACTGTTTTCCAAAGAGGCTGTACCAACTTGCATTCCCACCAACAGTGTAAGAGGGTTCCCCTTTCTCCACAACCTCTCCAACATCTGTTGTTTCTTGACAAATAGAGAAGTCTAAACTCCCTCCTCCTCAATTCTAAAAACAACAACAAAACTCTGAAAACCGGGGGTGCCTGGGTGGCTCAGTCGTTAAGCGTCTGCCTTCGGCTCAGGTCATGATCCCAGGGTCCTAGGATCAAGCCCTGCATCGGGCTTCCTGCTCTGTGGGAAGCCTGTTTCTCCCTCTCCCACTCCCCCTGCTTGTGTTCCCTCTTTCGCTGTGTCTCTCTCTGTCAAATAAATAAATAAAATCTTTAAAAAAAAAAAAAAAAAAAACTGTGAAAAACAATTTCTTTCATAACTTATTTAGAGGCAAAACCTGGAAATGACCGATCTGACCTAACCTGGTTTGAACATTTATACATTTTGGCGCCAAAATATTTAATTACAAGGTGCTGCCCCACCCCCAGCTGTGTTCTGTAAGTTATGATTTGGAGGAGCCTGAGGAGACAGGACAACTAAAAGTGTGTGGTATCCTGGATGATCTTGGAAAAGAGAAAGGACATTTGGTGGGGGTAGGGGGTTAAGGAATAAGGAAATCTAAATAAAGTATAGACTTCAGTTAATAGCTATATATTGGTATTGGTTCATTAATCGCAACAAACGCACCATAATAACATAAGATGCTGACAACAGGGGAAACACATTGTGGGGTGTATGAGAAATCTTTATGCTATCTTTGCAATAAAGTTTATTCTAAACAAAACAAAAACAAAAGCAAACCAAAAAAAAGCTCTTCTGACTCCACTTCATCCTGCAACTAACTACCTATCTATTTTTCTGCTGTCCTTTACAGCAAATTTCCTCAAAAAAAAAAAAAAAAAAAGGTGATATACTCACTGTCCCAAATTCCTCCTCTCTTCCTCTTTTGAATCCACTGTAATCAAGCTCCCGTTTTTAAACCAATTCTCAATCGTCACTCTCACTGACAGCGTTTATACAACTGATCGCTCCTTCCTTGAAACACTTCCTTCATGTGGATTCCAGGACAGCCCACTTCCTGTATCCCTCCGACCTCTCCAGTGCCCCTTCTCAATCTCTTTTGCAGAGTCTACCTCTTAAAGGTGATGTGCACCTAGGCTCAGTCATGGAACCTGTTCTCCCCTCTCTCTGCTGAACTCCTTTGCTGTCTTCAAACATGTGCTACCCTTCAGGAAAAGAAAGAACGACTCCAAGGGCAGAGGCAGAGAGGAAAGCAGAAGCAGGAGGGCAGAGCATCAAGCCATAGAGGGTTCTTCTTCAGCCTTGAAACCTAATAGGATTTGCCCTACTCGATCTCACACTTGCTTGGCACCTGTGACACCTTTATTTCTTCCACATTCTACTTCTTTTAAAGGGATGCTTACTCTAGGTCTGTCCATGATTTTATCTTGAAAGCATATAACTTGTTTTTCAGGCTCCAGTGTCCACGGATGGAAAGGAATTTTGTCCCAGGATGGATCATACCCAGAGTCTTCCCCATACCTGATCTGGATGATTTAGAAAATCATTTGAGCTGACAATATTTAGATGAGATCTTGGATTAAGATGATACTGTCATGTATCGAAACTTTGAGGGATTTGGGGCTAAATATGTTTGGCATGTGAGACAGACATGAATTTGGGGCTGCCAAAAGGTGGACTGTACTGGGCTGAAAAGTGGCTCCCCAAAAGATATGTTCAAGTCTTAACTTCTGGAACCTGTGAATGTGACCTTATTCAGGAAAACAGTCTGTTCAGGTGCAATTAAGTTAAAGATTTTGAGATCATCCTGGTTTAGGGTGGGACCTAAATCCAATGATTTAGAGAGAAGGCAAAGGGAGATTTGAGACACTCAGACACAAAAGAGGAAGACCATGTGAAGGCAGAGACTGGAGGTAGGCAGCCCCAAATATAAGAACACCTGGAGTCACCAAAAGCTGGGGGAGGCAAGAAAGAATCCTTCCCTAGAGCACAAAGGGAAGAACCCAAAAAGCATGGCCCAGGCAACAATTGTGATTGAGGACTTCTAGCCTCTACAACTGTGAGAGAGTAAGTTTCTCTGGCACTAATCTGTTATGGCAGCCCTAGGGAACCGCTAGAAAAGCCAAAATAAGTGAAAATAAGTGCTCAAATACTTGTAAACACATGTACATAACAGCACTATCCACAATAGTCAAATGGTAGAAACAACCTAAATGTCCATCAAACGATGAACGGATCAATGAAATATAGTATATATACACAACAGAATATTGTTCAGCTATAAAAAGGAATGAAGTAAAGATACATGCTACATGTGGATTAACCTCCAAAACATTATGTTAAGTAAAAGAAGACAAACACAACAAGTCACATACAGTATGATTCCATTTATATGAAATATCCAGAATCGATAAATCCTTACACAAAGAAAGAAAATTGCTGGCGATCAGGAAATGCAGGGAGGGAGGAATGAGGAGTGGCTGCTTAATGGGTACAAGGTTGTCCTTTGGGGTGATGGAATGTTTGGGACTGGATACAAATGGCACTTGTACAATATTGTGAATGTGTGATGAATACATAGTGAATGTGCCACTGAAATGTACATGCTAAAACAATTCCATGTTGTATGAACTTCACCTCAATAAGAAGCTGTTCTTTAAAAACAAAAGTACAAAAATCATACTCTGAAAACTGCAAAACGTTGTTGAAGTAAGTAAAGACTATCTAAATAAATGGAAAAACACCCTGCATTTATGGATCAGAAGGCAATATTGTTAAAATGGCAATACTTTTCAAATTGATCTACAGGTTCAGTGAAATCCCTACCAGAATCTCAGCCGACTTCTTTGTAGAAATTGACAAAATTCATACGGAAATTCAAGGGACTTGGAATAATGAAAACAATTTTGAAAAAGAAAAACAAGGTAGGAAGACACACTTCCCTGTTTAAAAACTTACTATAAAATGTTCATCAAGACAGTATGAAAGTCCAGAGATAAAACCACGAGTCCATGCTCAACTGCTTTTTGACAACAATGTCAAAATCTCTCAGTGGGGGAAAGACTAGTCTTTGGTGCTCGGACAACTGGATACTCTCAAGCAAAAGAATGAAGTTGGACCCCTACCTCACCCATATACAAAAACTAACTCAAAATGGACCAATGACCAAAATATAAGAGTTTAAAATTAAAAGCCATTAAGAGGGGTGCCTGGGTGGCTCAGCTGGTTAAGCATCTGCCTTCAGCTCAGGTCATGATCCCAGTCCTGGGATCGAGCCCCGCATCAGGTTCCCTGCCTAGCAGGAGAGTCTGCTTCTCCCTCTCCCTCTGCCCCTGCTCCTGTACTCTCTCAGAGTCCTGGGATCAAGGCCCATGTTGGGCTCCGCGCTCAGTGGGGAGTCTGCTTGTCCCTCTCCCCCCGCTCGTGCTTGCGCTCTCTCTCTCAAATAAATAAATACTTTTTTAAAAAAATGTAAAAATTAAAAAATAAAAAGCCATTAGGAGAAAACATAGGGGTAAATATTCATAACCTTGGATTTGACAATAGGATTTTAGATATGATACTCAAAGCACAAGCAATAAAAGGAAAAATAGATAATGTGAGCCTCATCAAAATTTTAAAATTCCATGCTTCAAAAGCCATCATCAAGAAAGTGAAAACCTGGGAGGGGCGGAGCAAGATGGCGGAGGAGTAGGAGACCTGGATTTCGTCTCCTCTCAGGAATTCAGCTGGATAGGGATCAAGCCATTCTGAACACCTACAAACTCAACAGGAGATCGAAGAAAGGAATAGCAACAACTCTCTCATCAGAAAAGCGACCACTTTCTGGAAGGTAGGACGTGTGGAGAAGTGAATCCGAGGCGATATTCCGGAGGATAGATGGCGGGGGAGGGGCCTCCGTCGGCCGCTTCTGGCAAGTGATAGAGCCGCGGAGCACAAAATCGGGACTTTTAAAAGTCTGCTCCGCTGAGGGACGTCACTCTGGTGGTTAAGTGGGGGTGGAACCCTCCGGGACAGTGTGGTCTCAGGACCCTCGGGGTCACAGAAAGACCGGGGGTGCCTGAGTGCGGCAGAGCTCCCAGGTAACGGAGCAGGGAAGCCGGCTGCAGAGGCGGAGCCCAGGCGCGGGCTCTCAGCTGGGGTGGCCATAAACCGTGATCCGCGGCACAGCCGGGCCACTGCTCCTCCAGCAGGGACCCAACAAGCGGCAGATCCGGGGAGACTCACCTTCCTCCCCCGGGAGGAGCCGCGCGGGAGTGCACCGCAGGGATCTGCTGGGTTTGGAGACTCCACCCGGGGTCGGGTGCCAGAGATAGAAACGCGCGGTCACAGGCCGGGTGAGCACGGAGTGCGGCCGGAGATCAGGGAGACGGGAGTGACTGACGGCTTTTCTCTGGGGGCTCACTGAGGAGCGGGGCCCCGAGTTCTCGGCTCCTCCGGGGCGGAGATTGGGAGGCCGCCATTCTCACTCTCCGCCTCCAAAGCTGTACGGAAAGCTCGCAGGGAACAAAAGCCCCGGAGAGCAAACCCGAGCAGATTACTTAGCCGGGAGGGGGCAAGGGCGGGGCAATTCTGCCTCCGGCAAAGACGTTTGGAAACCACGGCAACAGGCCCCTCCCCAGAAGATCAGTGAGAACAGCCAGCCAAGACCAAGTTTACCGATCAATGAGAACGGCAGAACTCCAGCGCTAGGGGAATACTGCACATAGAATTCACGGCTTTTTTACCATGATTCCTTAGTCTTTTAAAGTTAATTTTTTTTTAACTGTCTTTTTGTCTTTTTATTTCTTTTTGAATTTTTCTTTTTCCCTTTTTCAAACATCTTATCAATCCCTTTTTTTAAAAAAAAACATTTTTATTTTTCATTTTTAGAGTCATATTCCATCCCTTCATAGTAGTTACCCGTATTTTTGGCTTATATATATAAGTTGTTCTCTCTTTAAAATTTTGAGATAGTTTCTTCTAACAGATTAAAATATACCCTAAATCTCTAGTATATGGTGTTCTCTATTCCCCTGCCTGATCACATCCTCTCCCTTTTTTTTTCTTTTTCTTTTTTCTTTTTTTAAATCCTCTTTCTTTTTTCAAACAACTTCTTATCAATTCCTTTTATAAAATTTTTTATAATTTCCATTTTTACAGTCATTTTCCATCCCTTCATCATATCAACCCTTATTTTTGTACATATATAAGTTTTTCTTTCTTTAAAATTTTGGGAGACACTTTCTTCTAAAAGACCAAAACACACCCCAAATCTAGTGTGTGGCACTGATCTATATACCATATAGATCATATTTGATCACATTCTGGTTTTTCTCTTGTTGTTGTTGTTTTGTTTTGTTTGTTTTTGTTTTTATCTTTATCTTTTTTTTTTTTCTTTTTCTTTTTTCTCTCTTTCCCCTTCTTATCCCACTGCTTCAGGTCTTTTCTGATTTGTTTAGAGTATATTTTCTGGGGACGTGGTTACTCTGCTAGCATTTTGTTCTCTCATTAATCTATTCTCCTCTGCACAAAATGACGAGACGGAAAAAATCACCTCAACAAAAAGAACAAGAGGCAGTACCGACTGCCAGGGACTGCCATGGAACATTCTCCAGAATCGATCACATCCTAGGTCATAAATCAGGTCTCAACCGGTACCAAAAGATTGGGATCATTCCCTGCCTATTTTCAGACCACAATAGGATACTCAATACGGATATTAGTACGATGTCAGATCTAGAGTTCAGAATCATCACTTTAAAGATACTAGCTGGGCTTGAAAAAAATATGGAAGTTATTAGAGAAACTCTTTCTGGAGAAGTAAAAGAGCTAAATCCAACCAAGTAGAAATCAAAAAGGCTATTAATGAGGTGCAATCAAAAATGGGGGCGCTAACTGCTAGAATAAATGAGGCAGAAGAGAGAATCAGTAATATAGAAGATGAAATGCTGGAAAATAAAGAAGCTGAGAAAAAGAGAGATAAACAACTACTGGATCATGAGGGCAGAATTCGAGAGATAAGCGATACCATAAGACGAAACAACATTAGAATAATTGGGATCCCAGAAGAAGAAGAAAGAGAGAGAGGGGCAGAAGGTATAATGGAGCAAATTATAGCAGAGAACTTCCCTAATTTGGGGAAGGAAACAGGCATGAAAATCCAGGAAGCACAGAGAACCCCTCTCAAAATCAATAAAAATAGGTCAACTCCCCGACATCTAATAGTAAAACTTACGAGTCTCATAGACAAAGAGAAAATCCTGAAAGCAGCTCGGGAGAAGAGATATATAACCTACAAGGGTAGAAACATTAGATTGGCAACAGACCTATCCACAGAGACCTGGCAGGCCAGAAAGGACTAGCAGGATATATTCAGAGCACTAAATGAGAAAAATATGCAGCCAAGAATACTCTATCCAGCTAGGCTGTCATTGAAAATTGAAGGAGAGATAAAAAGCTTCCAGGACAAACAAAAACTAAAGGAATTTGCAAACACAAAACCAGCCCTACAGGAAATCTTGAAAGGGGTCCTCTAAGCAAAGAGAGACCCTAAAAGCAACATAGACCAGAAAGGAACACAGACAATATACGGTAACAGTCACCTTACAGGCAATACAATGGCACTAAATTCCTATCTTTCAATAGTTACCTTGAATGTAAATGGGCTAAATGCCCCAATCAAAAGACACAGGCTAACAGACTGGATTAAAAAACAAGATCCATCGATATGCTGTCTTCAAGAGACTCATTTTAGACCCAAAGACACCCCCAGATTGAAAGTGAGGGGGTGGAAAACCATTTACCATGCTAATGGACACCAAAAGAAAGCTGGGGTGGCAATCCTTATATCAGACAAATTAGATTTTAAACCAAAGACTGTAATAAGAGATGAGGAAGGACACTATATCATACTTAAAGGATCTATCCAACAAGAAGATCTAACAATTGTAAATATCTATGCCCCTAACATGGGAGCAGCCAATTATATAAGGCAATTAATAACAAAAGCAAAGAAACACATCAACAACAATACAATAATAGTGGGGGACTTTAACATCCCCCTCACTGAAATGGACAGATCATCTAAGCAAAAGATCAACAAGGAAATAAAGACTTTAAATGACACACTGGACCAAATGGACTTCACAGACATATTCAGAACATTCCACCCCAAAGCAACGGAATACACATTCTTCTCTACTGCCCATGGAACATTCTCCAGAATCGATCACATCCTAGGTCATAAATCAGGTCTCAACCGGTACCAAAAGATTGGGATCATTCCCTGCCTATTTTCAGACCACAATGCTTTGAAACTAGAACTCAATCCCAAGAGGAAAGTCGGAAAGAACTCAAATACATGGAGGCTAAAGAGCATCCTACTGAAGAATGAATGGGTCAACCAGGAAATTAAAGAAGAATTAAAAAAAATACATGGAAACCAATGACAATGAAAACACAACTGTTCAAAATCTTTGGGATGCAGCAAAGGCAGTCCTAAGAGGAAAGTATATAGCAATACAAGCCTTTCTCAAGAAACAAGAAAGGTCTCAAGTACACAACCTAACCCTACACCTAAAGGAGCTGGAGAAAGAACAGCAAATAAAGCCTAAACCAAGCAGGAGAAGAGAAATCATAAAGATCAGAGCAGAAATCAATGAAATAGAAACTAAAAGAACAGTAGAACAGATCAACGAAACTAGGAGCTGGTTCTTTGAAAGAATTAACAAGATTGATAAACCCCTGGCCAGACTTATCAAAAAGAGAAGAGAAATGACCCAAATCAACAAAATCATGAATGAAAGAGGAGAGATCACAACCAACACCAAAGAAATACAAACAATTTTATAAGAACATATTATGAGCAACTCTATGCCAGCAAATTAGATAACCTGGAAGAGATGGATGCATTCCTAGAGATGTATCAACTACCAAAACTGAA